CCGCAAGTCGTTATCATAGTGAAAAAGAGTAAGAATATAAAAAGGTGGCTCTGACCCGTTTGCTAAAGCTTTCCAAGAAATTGTGGGTTAGCGTTTGTTCCAAAATAAACTCTCTCAACACTTTCTTAAAAATTTACATTCAAAAATCCGGCTCAGCTGGCACAAAAAAGGTTTTGGTAGCCTGCATTCTCATTTACAATGTTTAGTTAATTATTAAAGGTAAAGTGACCTGAGGTGTTCCTCAACACGTAGTTAATGCTAATTAAATTCTCTACCTGCACTCATTAACGCATTTAGTCTGATATTACCCAAATACCTGTATACCTGTCCGCTCATAGCGCTGGCATTACTTGTATAAATTAAGCTAGTAAGCAACCATGCACTTCATTCACGAGCCACAAGTTGCTGTGTTAAATAACTCAAATCATTCGCCAGACTATTAATAACGAAAGCCTATTTACCGAGAAAAGAATGGATGCCAGGACAAACTTTACTTGTGAACCGTTTGATTTCCTACGACAAACGCTGGAAGTAGATTTGCGAAGCCTAAGAGAAGCGTTAAAAAGATTAGCCGTCACCGCAACAACACTGGAAAGTTTAAGCAACAGTACAACAAGCCACAATACTTTCTATACCAACTACCCAAACGAGTCTGACAACGAGCTAACAGCGCCACCAGCACCAAGAGTCCAGAAATGGGAATGGATACAGGCTCAGCATGAACTACAGCTGTATTCAGCGCCACGAAGTCAAAGCTATTGCAGAACTAAATACGACGAGAAAACAGTGGAATTTACGCCTCTGGAAGAGTATTTCAAGCGTTTTCGGCAAAAGGCCCGATTGCCTAAAGTTGGACTAGTACGCCCAATGGTGAAGGGTCAACCAATAACTGGGTCAATAGAGAACTTAACTGTGCCATCAGCATTGAAACTGGGGTACTTCCAGAAAAATGACAGCAAAGCGATATCTAAGCCGAGAAGTGCAGAAAATATAACAAAACCGGTTGCTGTTGTATGCCCTAACAAATCAAAGGAGCCTAGAGTTGGTTGTCAAACTTCATTGAATTTTTTAGTTGCCGAAAGTAGTATGCCGTTTGATTCATATTTAACCGGCTCTGCATTAAGAAACCTGCTACTGCACGCACGTTTACAAGACATACAAAACTAATAGAAGGTTGGCAAGAAAAACTTTAGTGAAAGAATGTTAAAATGAGAAGACTAGAATTTAATGTCGTATTTAAGATTAAAATTCATGTAAACTATAATAGTATTGTAGTAAAACAAAATTAGTGTATATATTAAATTTAAATAAATGATTTTGTAAGAAAGGATATTTAATTCTTTTGTAACTCAATGAACTTTCATAGAATGGGTTAGGAATTGTGTTGCCAGTCTAGTTTTTTTCTTTGTCGCATATCTTTGAAATTAAAGGACAATCATCGTAAGGTTGTAAATCACAATCAGACTAGCGATGTTTGAAGAAACGATGTTTCGAAAAAATACATCGATGTATCGAATTAAAACATCGATGTTTTTACCGATGTTTTAGGGAAGCTTTTTTATATATTGCACTCAATTTTAAATTGGATTTATATAGTTTTTGTTAACGAATAAACTAAAAAAAAAAAAATTACTAAAATTGAATACAAAAAAAAATATTGTTAAAACTTGGGTTTTATTTTGAAACGAGATGTACTTACATACAAGTGGTTTTTGCGGCCTGTCCGATGGCGAGCTCATCGGCGAGTCGATACGAAGCCGTTTGGCTAATTGCGTGATGACGCTACGCAATTTTACAAACGGTGAATTTTACAAACGCAAATGAAACGGTGAAGGTATGCTTTGAAGCACCCGTGTCGAGTTAAAAAGTTTGACAAATAGAAATCGACTTCGCCGTTTAGTTTGCCTCATTTGCGTGTATATACGATTTGCTCTTCAATTGAAATATTCACGATTGTAATCGTATTGTAATGTATGAAGACAAATGTACCACTACTTTGTCTCTAGGGACTATTGGTTTTCAGAGCCTAAAATAGACTCCCCTTTATTATTAAAATCGTTTAATTAAACGGTATGGTGTTCAAAATGACCTTTTTTTAACCTTTTCTTGCGCCATTAAGCTTTTTTATTTGGCCGATCTACCTTTTTTATTTTGAAGCCCTGGCAACACTGGTTCGGAAAAGGAAAAAATTAGATATTTGGTGAGGGAGATCATACCTTATNATCGATGTTTTTACCGATGTTTTAGGGAAGCTTTTTTATATATTGCACTCAATTTTAAATTGGATTTATATAGTTTTTGTTAACGAATAAACTAAAAAAAAAAAAATTACTAAAATTGAATACAAAAAAAAATATTGTTAAAACTTGGGTTTTATTTTGAAACGAGATGTACTTACATACAAGTGGTTTTTGCGGCCTGTCCGATGGCGAGCTCATCGGCGAGTCGATACGAAGCCGTTTGGCTAATTGCGTGATGACGCTACGCAATTTTACAAACGGTGAATTTTACAAACGCAAATGAAACGGTGAAGGTATGCTTTGAAGCACCCGTGTCGAGTTAAAAAGTTTGACAAATAGAAATCGACTTCGCCGTTTAGTTTGCCTCATTTGCGTGTATATACGATTTGCTCTTCAATTGAAATATTCACGATTGTAATCGTATTGTAATGTATGAAGACAAATGTACCACTACTTTGTCTCTAGGGACTATTGGTTTTCAGAGCCTAAAATAGACTCCCCTTTATTATTAAAATCGTTTAATTAAACGGTATGGTGTTCAAAATGACCTTTTTTTAACCTTTTCTTGCGCCATTAAGCTTTTTTATTTGGCCGATCTACCTTTTTTATTTTGAAGCCCTGGCAACACTGGTTCGGAAAAGGAAAAAATTAGATATTTGGTGAGGGAGATCATACCTTATTTTACGAACAGTTTTAAGGCTATGAGTTATGCTACAGCTGTCATTGTTAAGATCGAAATCTTAAATATTGCCCCGACTTTGTTTATCGAAAAAGATTTTCACGGTGTCATTTGAATTGCTTAAGTATAAGATTATAACAACCATGGTGGCCCGCCTTTAAAACGGTAGAGATGACTGTATGAGCTCTGAAAGCTTTACGTTTATTAGCATGATGTCCTGCATGCAGTAATGTCTTGAAAAATTGGTGGAATTGCGCATTCGTAGGGAATCGCGTTTTTATTAATTATTTGCTTGCATCATATCCATTAGATGGAGAAATTATGCGAGCAGCTTGGGAATAACTGTAGATTCGGTGATGGTTAATTTAATTCGTTAAATGTTAGAGCAGAGGGCCATCTGTGTTACATGGAAGTCCGCAAGTATGTCGTGTGCAGCGGGCTATATTCCTTACTCGGACCCTTGTCTGGCTCTGGCGTCTACGGTCAGACGATGTGATCAGTATCATCACAGGTCTTTCCCTCTCAATTGTTGGCAAGATTTAATATCATGGCTGACGGCGAACTCAACCAAAACTGGCATTGGGCTCTTCACTGGAAGATGCAAGTTGGACGTAAAGGATTCGTTATTCAGATATGTAGCTTGCGAAGAAAAGTATTTAGGAGTAATCGTGGACAGTAGCCTTCTTTGGAAGTGTTATATTTAGAAAAAAACTCCTAAGTTTAAACAGGGTAAGGTAAAATGTGAGTTACCTCCGGATTTGCACTTATACAAGTAACATCCATCATCAGCTATGCGTTTGTGGTATTGTGAAGCAGAGTCTTAGAGTAGAACTTCATCTGCTTGTCAACTTTCAATGACTTGTATCGCTGTGCCATTTACGAAAGCTTTCTCTAGAATACTTGACATGACGTTGATTTGAATGCACTGCCTCATATACATACAAATCGTCGTTTAAAGTACAAAACCGCTTATCAAAAAATGTAAAACCGCTTATCAAGATAAGGAAAAAACGGGTATGAGAGGTGGCAAAAATTATTTTCTAGAGAGTAAAACCCCCATATTTAAAAACGGTTCTCTTTTTTTTAAACAATCGCATTTATGGCTAGTATATTTCAGGACGAATGGAAGAGGATCGAGCCAATAGCTTGTGCCAGCAAATCCAAGTTTTGGCAGCAAATGTCAGTTACGCGGTTTGTACTTTAAACGACGCTATATATCTTGGAGCAATGGCAGGCCCTTAATGCTTAAAAGAAAAATTATAAAGTAAAGACATGCCACAATATTAGGCTCTCTAAGGCTGACGTCTGGCTTAATCCTAGTACTTGGTTGAGGCTTACATACCATAAGTTTTTTTTTAAGGGCTCGGAAAACAAAACTTGGTCAGAATATTTTAATATTAACTAATTTTTAAAGGTCCCCCAAAAAGTCCAAAATATGTAATGGGGGACCCATAAAAAATCGTTAGCATTAAAAAAGGGTAAAATAAAATTGGAAGTGTCCTGAAGAGAAATAGAGTCTTCTGATAGAAAAATATTGATTTTCAAGAATTCTATATCATTTCTATGAAAAAGTGCTTCTTCCATATAAAATACATGGAAAACTTCATGGGTTTTGAGGCAGTTGTAAATATCTTAAAAAAAAAAGTTTATTTTTTTATTCCATTTAGAAAAATCCCGGGGGTGAGTGCTCAACATTTACAACTTTTTTTGGACATGCATGCCTGCTGATATTGAGCGGATGTGGACTACATCAACTTGTGGTATTGAGGCTATATAGTCACTTTTTTTTGGTAAAAAAAATTGACTGTGATTGGCCTGCATGGCTTTTGTGCTTCAATATCGAAGGACTAGATCTGACGCCTGAGAGGCAATGTGTCGGGAATCGAAAACTTGAGCTTGTTGAGATACAATTATGTGTCTCAACTTATTTATTCGTATATTGTCTAGATTTATAAGAGATAAAAAAGAACACAAAAACTGATGTCTGAGCTCTGCTTCCTGTAACTTATTTAAAAACTAACTATTAAAAAATGTAACTGACTCTTATTCATATTTGTCCTTTCGCTTTATTTTTTTTCCAGCTAATAACAACAATCCTGTCGCACCACCAAATACACCATCTCACGCCGCTGGTGGTTATACCATAACCGCGCAACGTTTGCAGCAGATCCGTTCGAATTTAATGTACTGGTATTTCGATCAGGATATGTATGGAGGCCGTGGTGACTATCAATCCGATATACATGCTTCGATGACACAGTTGCATAAGAATTTGAATTTCCGTTTGCCATTTTTTGGTTTCATCTACAATTATACGCGGGTGAGTTGAATAATACAAATTTCATACATACATGTCTACATATGTATGTATATATATTTCATATAAGTATGTACTTACCTTCATACAATTATTACCAATTTCTATAGCTTTCACTCAACGGCTACTTGGAGTTCTCAGACCCACCCGAATATCTAACATATCCACTTGTTTTCCCCATCAAGGATTGGCCAAAGCGACGTGATCCCGCGTTTATTGGTATATGGTTCTCGAAATGTCGCGTGGGGCGCATTTATCCCACAGATATTGATCAGCGTACACCAGGCGTTTATTTCCGGTGAGTAAAAAGGCAATTATAGGCTTCTATGTATGTACATTAAGGCGTATCACGTATAAACGTTTAGCGTATGTCAGTTTTATTTGAATACTTATGTCGAGAAAAAATTGTGGGTGTACAATTTTTTTAAGCACCCGCTAAATTGCGTTTTTTGCTGTAACTTTCTTATTTGCTATTTTTTAAATTTTTATGTCACCGAAAGAGCCTCGCTCAGGACTATCATTGAATAAAGCTTAACTCTTTTTAGCAAGATCGTCATCGTTTTTCGAGAGCTTTGGATTTATAGCATAAAAATAAAAATCTAGGTTTAGTAATTCCAAAATTAGTGAAGGTATAAATTAAAACGGGGCTCTTTGGGTAATTTATTTATAGCAAAAATTCAAAAAAAAAAACAGTAATTTTGTTTACTTCTCAATCAATTTTTTTTTTCATAGGAATATGGAATTGAATCCTTTTTTATTTTTTTTTTTATTTTATGGCCTTATGACAATTATATTTAACAATTTGTATTGAGCTTGAGGCCGTTTTTAATGAAGTAGTTGGCCTTAAAAATGAAAAAGTAAAAAAAGCAAAAAGAATTTACAAGGCGAACTTAGCACGGGGCGTGGGTAACTGGCTGAGTCAGCTGGAGTCGTTGGAACGAATCCCACTGAAAGAAGTCTGATGAGGAAATGTGGTGATTTTCGAAATAGCTATCACTTCTACCATTTTTTTGTTAAATTATTGTTGCTTTTCCACAATAAGTTTTTCATTAAAAACGGTCTCAAACTCAATAAAAATTGTTGAATAAAATTGGATTCTTGGCTGAAAACTTCTGTGGTAAAACTGTCCCCCTACGTCTCCCTTCTTTGCTATTTAAAGTCAAAGGGTAAGCTCCTTCTCCGGCTCGTCTGGCTATAAAGAGAATCGATGCTCAAATAGTTAAAAAACTATAGGTCTAATTCGATAAGAACTACATACATAACTATCTGAGACCCTCATCATCCGTAATTCAATTGCTAAAAAACGGGGTGCTTTTTTGCTTTTAAATAACAATATTCCGATCCGATTCGGCTGGCGGCTACGACTTTGAAAACAGAATTTTGCTCAACATTTTCATTCCTGGAAAATAATAATTAATTTTCTATATCCACCTAATTAGCTCGCTATAAGCACAAGAAGAAAGTATTGAAAATGAATTACAAAAACTAAAATCGAAAAACGCTGATGAAGTTACATATTCCCCAAATTCTGAAACAGCCAAAGGGATGAGAATGAAGAATTATTTTGAAAAAGCTTTAGAAAAGCCTGACACATCTGGTTTGGCTTATAAGCGCTGTTTAAACAACGATCTCGCCATTATGCCAGATTCTAATTGTTACTTAAAAATACTTGACATCGGCATTCGCATCCACGGATGTCTAAAATTCCACATTCGCAACATCCCTAATAGATACTACATTCATTCAAATCCTGCACAAATTGAACTAATTGAGCCGAAATTTTAAGGGCACACAAAAAAATAAAAAAAAAAATAGTCCTAGTAAAATGATACGGAAATGAAAAAAGGAAAAAAAAGGAAAATTGTGCACAATTTCAGGTGAATGCACCAATTGGCAAGTGACCACATGAAATTGTTTCTAAAGCTGTACGTATTTTTGTTGGGATTGGATGTGTAAAGTCATGCGCATACATTCGTATGTATTTAAACACTCTTACATCTACATATCTATACATATTTATATCTACAAAATTAGTTACACACAGCAGGGAAACCTAGTTCCGTACTAAATCTTTATCGCCAAAAACGGACCAGTCCGATGGTAACTAGATCTCACCAGTTCAAAATCAAATGGTAAAAAGTTGCAGCTAAATCCACTTTTTTTTTAAATTATATTTTAATGCAAGAAGCAAGAAAAATTTTGAAGGGATCCTTTTTCAAAAGATTGAACTAACCTTTTCTGTTTAGTGATACGTAATTTTGCCAAGTCCTAGAGGATGAAAAAAGGTTCATTAGAAATCTTTCTCTAAGGTGGCGAGTTTAGAATTTGTTCGGAAGTATAGAAAAAGGGATGCAGCGGGGGCTGGTTTGCTTTACATCGATATGTGTTTGGCAACTTTTCGTTCAAGTACGCTTTCAGTCTGCACTTCGCAGATGCTTTTTTATAGTTTGGCAATGCAAAAGAAAAAATTTAAACACACTCCGTTACAGCAAAAGGTACATTTATTAAAATAATTCAAACAAATTTAATTTCAAATTGAAAACACATTTCTTTGAAAATAATATAGAATCGCACCCATGCACTTTGGCTGAAATAAGCACTTTCTACTATTTAAACAGATAGTCCATTCCAGAGCAACCATTCTGACAATGTTTACGTATTTTTGTCCGCAGAATCCTAATCTGTGGTAAAAGCATGTATGTCCCATTTTAAAAAATTAGCTTTCGGTCCATCTACAGTTTGTGTAATAATTGCTCATTTTTGACTTTGATGACGTCTGAAAATAGTACCTTTATGAAACAGGGGTCAGTTGGAGCAGAGAATTCATACACCAAATGGAAGTAGATATAATACCATTTTATCAGGTATATACATATGTATGTACATTAAATCGGACGAGATATGACAGAAAAAGTCACACTCCATGAAACAAGCACATTATGCTTAAATGTTTATGATTATAACATGCTCTTTGAAACAGTGAATTTTTCAAAAACAAAAATGTTTTTAAAATTACAACTGTTACAGTCAATAGTAAATACAATTATTATTATTTTCCATTACCAAAAGAATCACACTTCAGACTTTTTATATACGTAAAACATATCCGAGTTGCATTGCAGTTCAGTATAATAAAATTCTAACACAAACTAAAACAAAAACCACAAAATTTAGGTTAACAGATAGGAGAGACCAGAGTTATCTTGCGGCCATAAAGTATATAGAATAAAGTCCGCCTGTTAAAAATTTTGAAAACAAAAATTGAAAAATTTGGCCACAGAAAGTGCTTATTTCAGCCATAGTGCCAGAGAAAAACGAAAAACTCTGAAAAAACCTGATATGTTTTCCATCTGTAGAATTTAGGGCTGGTTCGGAAGTGTCGAAAAAGGTAGCGGGGGGAAATTGACACTTCGAAGAACATCGCAATGTTAAGTTTGCCAGTTGCTGCATGCAAAAGAGAATTATCGCGCACTAGTCATGGTTCTAAATTCTCTAGTGCAGAATCAGATCGGCACTAGTGCGTTTCCATACAGGGTACAAACACATTCTGATACACCAGGATATAAGGAAGTTACCTGTTTTGTTCCTATGCAGTACAAGATAGTTTCATACAGCCCACTGCAATATGATTACATACATATTGATGCACCTAAATTTCCGTAACAAACAGTTAGCAGCATAGCAAATACTCGTATATACATATACATAAATACATACATATGCATGCATGTCTATGTAGCAAAAAACTATGAAAGCAAACCCAAATGCGGTCAACATTGATTATAAACGAGCATTCACACGTTTTACCCCTTCACCTTTACTTCGAAAATTGTTATACTGTTTTTTGCTGTGGCGCAACTTGAAAGCTGTAGGTATGAGTTCTCCCTTTCGACCTTTATGTACAAAAAAAAAAAAAATTGCAAATATTTTTTGTTGCCTATAAACGACTAGTCTGGCACTCGATTTGGTGTTGGCATAAAAATCGTAATATCCTTTACCTGAAATTGTGTTGAATGCCAAATTGAATTTGGTGATTAAGAGTTGGTTCTGCTATAATTTAATTCTCACCTCTGGCTGAGTAACTAAATGCGGTAAAGTTATAATGTATTTTAGCATTCCTGAATTTAGAAACTAAAAACAAGTGTTCGTTAATAATTCTCATTCTTGCTTGTATACTATGTATCAATAATGGCAGGGACGGATCGTGAGCTCGAGTATGATAGACATTTTATTTTATTATATTACATATTGTTTATAAATGAATTATATTTTTATATTATTATAAATCATGTTTTTGAAAAAAATACATCGTAGTAATTTTAAAATTTCAAAATTACATTTCGCTTGCAGGTATAGTATGCTATGTAGGCTTTCTGTTTACGATATTCGATGTTGATTTTCCAGTTCAGCTTGGGGTCAAGCATGACTCCCAAATACTTCCCGCTAGAAGATAGATTGAGCATGTTACCATCTAGCGTCGGTACTTTGAACTGGGTTTTTTTTTTATTCCTATTTGTGAATCGCACAAGCTCGGCCTTATCTGGGTTTACGCTTAGCACGCTTTCCGTGGCTTCCGTTTTTCTTAAACAAATATTTGAAAAAACTTAAAAAATTAGTATTAGAATTTTAATTATTACCATTCCGTTGGAAGGATTTTTAAATATTTTTATGCAGATTTTTTAAGCTCAAACTGTTTTGTCATCTGAGGAAATTTTTTTCAAAAAAAACTATTTTTACTCATAAAAAACTCAATTTTTGGAGGTATTTTCAAATTGGTTCAGCTCACATAAATCTTAATATTTTGGTGCAAGTCTTCAAAAATAATTTGTTTTATAATCCTGGCGGAAAACCGCAACTTTTTTTTGGTGATGCATTCTAATGTACACACAATTCAGAATTTAAGACAAACATGGATTCATCAATTCCCCAGAAAAACAAGACTAAAAACAATATTTACAAACATGTATATGTGTGTAGTATGCACATAGTCATGAAATAAAGTTTCGTAATTTAATTTTAACAGTTGACAATCGTCCTAATTAAGGCAATTAGATATAAGAGAAGCCTTAAACCACACACGTACAGTGGCAAAAACACTTCATAGAACAAAAAGGACATTTGCATAAATGTTTTGTGATAGATGATATGTATGTATGTATGTATGCTTGTATGAAAAATAACTCCCTTATAAATCTGCTCGCTCTCGTGTTTTTACATAGGTATTTACGTAAAAATGTGAATGCTAATATTGGAGTGTGAAGCCAGTATATCGTCGATGTTTTTGCAAAACATACATAT